ACACACACACACACACACACACACAAAAGGTGGGGTGTCAGTGTGATCCTAAATGTGTCCTTTCTCCTCGTGATTGTTGTCAAGACGAGAGTATTTTGAAAAAGCGTGAGATTATTTTCTTTCAAATATATTTCATATGGGATTATTTCAAATACGTAACCCGTCTAGTAATTACGTTTTGTGTCTAGTCAGTCAAGAGTTGTTATATTAAAACTCTCCATCTAATACGCATTCCACGAGAAGTACATTCAATCCTCTATAGTAGACTATAATTATTCCAGTTGACGTTGATGGCTATAAAAGCATTGTTCTTGCTCGAGGCATCCATTGATTTTTTAAAATACCAGGAAGCTCTTTGTCGATAATGTCGATTTTGTCTAAGTCGATAACTCCCAATCTAGGCGAAATTTCTCCAAGGAAATATTGTGATTCCTATCGAAATAATGGTACAGAGTTTATTTGTGTACGTTTGGGTAGGGTGGGGGTGGATTGCGGGTTAATTTAGTTGCCATAGAACGTGAAACGAAAAACTTTAACGTCTAGGTGAGTGTGGCATTCGTTGCGCACTGTCTTATCAAGCATCGCGTCTGGCGCTGACGAACTATGTCTGGACAAAAGGCATTTATTTCTATCTCAAGCCACAATGAAGTAAACGTGTCTGTAGTATTGTCGCGTTCTTCCGTCGTTTTTTTTGTTGTTTAGCCAACCGAACAGATCAATACACATCGGGATCGGCCACGTCTTTGGCGATGCTTTTGTACTGATGGTCTTAGAAAAACCGATAAGCTTAAGCTCCCGACGTGAATGATTAGAATAATACTAATAACAGTATTATTTTTCTTTCTGTTTTTTTTAAAGAGAGTAATGCAAATTTGAACAGGTTACAGTAGAAATGGTCGCTTTTAAGGACAAGCGGGCTAACCCAGATTTCGGGGGTTTCCAGAATTCCTGACCTACTCAAAAAGTGGGCATTTCCCTACCTCTAGGAGAAGTTTGGTTTCATTTGTGTGTATATTTGTTTGGTTATAGAGAAAACTCTCTTCTTGTTTTTTAAAGAAACTGAACAAGAGGCAAAAACTTTACCTTCGATTTTCTCAAAATAGCATTTTTGGGGATAGCCCCCTTGTGCTCCAAAGCGACCAAATAGACAGTGGTATACATACATACATACATATATACAAATGTATTATTTCTATATATAGATAGATAGATAGATAGATAGATAGATAGATAGATAGATAGATATGATGCACAGACGGCCTTCCGAAACTTCTTTGCTTTTGAAATATTGGCGGACCATCTAGATGGTGAGATGACACTGAGAATGACTAGGCAGAACATGACGCAGGTAGGGGGGGGGGGGCCTACGCTATTTTTCTTTGGGGGGGGGGGGGTCACAGTACAGGAGGGTAGATGGTGGTAGACCAGATCGGTTTCATGCTAAGTTGACGGCTTATTTTATGCAGATCCTGGTATACTGTTTTCAAAAACATTTTTATTTTTATGATGGGAGAGGGAGCTGTGTTGTCGGGAGGTAATTTACTGTTGAAAGAAAAAAAATAATGTATAAACCCAACTGACAAACAAAGGTGTAGTTTGGATTGGTGTAGTGGATGTAATTATGAGGTTACTTGGTGCGAGGTTCCGATAATAGGAAAGAAAAGGGAACATTCGAGAAGTCCGCTGACATAATATTTTCCACTTTTTGTAATAATGCCCGACTGCCATTTATACATTTTCACCCCTTTGCAGAGTTTGTGTTTGGCTGACGAGTGTTATATCGATTGGTCATCGTGTGCCTAACTAGCTAGCTGTCTGTTGACTTTGTCAGGATTCGTCCCATAGTTGATTTTTGTTGCTAGGCGATTGCTTTTCATCATTTGCTCAGGGTTGTTTAATCAAGGAGAGGGAGACACGGTTTTGTTCCAGGCTTCACCAGATGCAATTTACCGTTTTACAAATGTTGCGAAGGAAGCGTTCATTAATGTTCATCAGCGTTTTCTTCTTTAAAAAAAAATGTTTAGCTTTGTTATTGCATTTCAGTCAGCCCTTCAGAATAATCAATGTTACATTTTCATATGTGACGTCGGGAAGTGAACGTGTATAATTCAACATAAATTTCATAGTATTTAGCTTGCACTAGGTGCGTATTTGATTTAACGTTCTTTGTAAAATGTGTATGACGACATCTTTACTTTTGGTTGGTAATAATTTTGTTTTAACCGTCTTTCTCCCGCTAAAGAAGTCCCGTAGAGTCGGGTTCCGACTCATCTCGTCTGGTGAAGGAGTATAAGGACGTGGTAAACCATAAACGTTTTTAGTACTTATTTCATTGTGCAGTTTGCATAATGTGTACGCCAATGAATGTGTGGCTATATGTGGTCTTATAAACTCTCGTGTAGCAGGTTCTTCTTCAGTTTTCCGCCAGACACTGTATCGATTGTGTTTCCCCGAGTCTGGAGGTCTTTCAGAGTTGTATTTATAGAACGATTTTTTTTAGTTTGACTAGTACACTTTTTGGGACACGTTGCTTGGAATGTTTACATCATTTTTGTTTTGTTTTTATCTCGGTGTGTTTTGTGATAGTATGTAGTTTCTGTTGCGTGGTCAGCATATCCTTGTTCTCCTTCTCCCATTGCCCCCCCCCTCCTTTTTCCCGTTACACCTTCTACCCCGATGACCATGTCCATCATCATTATCATCATCATCATCATCATCACTATCATCCTCATCATCATCATCATCATCATCATCATCATCATCATCATCATCAT